AATCCCAGACTTACTTTAGACTCTCCCAGGAATTTTGTTCCAGTTGATAGCTAAAAAACATCTGACGTGATTACCTATAGTAATACTACTATTTTAAGCAAAAAGATTAAAGATAAGAAGGAATGGAAACTAATCTTTTTTTAGTTTGTGACCTTAAGCAAGGCTAGTTACCCTTTGTGGTTAAATAATGGCAACTTATTGCATTTTTACCAACTTCACAAAGAAATGTTTTTTTAAAAAAGATCTAGCTTGCTTTCACCCAGAGTAGGAAAAAAACACACAAAACCACAGACTGCCCATCCAGTATGGTAATCACCACATGTGGCTACAGGGCAAGAGAATGTGACCAGTCCAATCCATGATGTGTGCAAGTGTAAACACACACTGGACTTCAAAGACTTAATACAAACAAAGAATATAAAATACCTCATTACTTTTACATTATATACATGTGAACATTATATCTTGGCTATCTTGGGTTAAAATATATTATTAGAGTTTGTTTGCTTATATATATTGTTATATGTAGCTACTAGTTAGTAGTACATTTAAAATTACTAGTACATCTGCTGAGGCAGCCGATCGATGTTTCTTTCTCATTGATAGTTCTTTCACTCTCTCCCCTCATCTCTCTCTAAAAATCAATAAAAACACATTTTAAAAATAAATAAAACAAAATTGCATCTGCTGCCTGCTGAATGAGGGTGTTTCAACTGAAGTTCTAAGTTAACTACTCGAAGATGATGCTCTATACATCTTCCTGCCTCAGTTTCATCATTTGTAAAATGTCAACACCTTGGATAGATGTCTTTTAAAACCTCTATGGCTCTAGCGTTCCAGAACTCCAGGGTTCAATAGTTGTTGCTAGTAGAGAAAATTCATGAGGACTGGTTTATAACTGCTGTAACTAAGAGGCAGACAGCCTTCCAAAGAGCAGCTCCAGACAAGGTAGGCGTCGCTTCCACCCAACCAGCAGCGTGTGTGTCTCAGGGCTGCAGACAGTGCTGTTGTACTTCCTCTGCCGGCTCCGCAAACTGTGAGGTCATGTGAGGAAAGCCCTGCTCTGACGTGGTGGCTCCAGGGCTCAGCACTGTGCCGTCTATTAACAAAGCTGTCCGTAGTTCTAGGTACAGCTGCTGGCTGGCACACTGTGGGCTGAAGAGCAGGGTGCAGTGGGACTAAAACACATTCTGGCTGACAAAGGGGTCCAGAACACTGATTTCATCAGTCAGGAGCCGAAAAGTAGGAAACAACAACAACAATTTGTAACATATTGTATTTATCAGACTCCTGAAAGAAGCATTAAAAAGACAACATATAACTATCAGTTTCATCCAAAGCATTATTCTATATTTGTTTGTTTTCTGTTAACATGGCACCTTCTGAATTAACCTGGATTGAAAGAGTCCCCCCAACCCAGTAAGCACTTGGGAATCTGCGCTAAGCCACCTTGGTGGCCCACTCTCCATCATCTGACAGCAGCATGCTGCAAACATGTTTAGGTGTCTTTCATGTGCAAGGCACCAGATACAACAGCAATATACAGTCCCTTGTCCTTAAGCAGAATACCAAGTAAGATGACAAATGTGACTCTGTGAAAACTGGATGGTAAGTTTTGGGTGCTCGTCTTAAAAGCACCTAACTCAGGAGCTGGGAAGGCATTTTGGAGAAAGTGAGATCCAAGTGAGCTAAAAACTGACCAAAAAAGGAGGAGGAAGAAGCAGTCCGTGCTCCAAAGGACAGATTTGAAAATGAATGAGATGCATCAGCAGAAGGCTGTAATTTAGAGTGTGACAGGACTAGGGGCAGAGATGAACCTGAGAGGGAAGGAGGGGCCAGACCATGCGGGCCTTGAATACCCTGTGAAGGAGTTGATAATGGTGGCCTAACCCCAAGGCAGCCATCCCATTCTTCCTAATCTCAGGAGGATTAAACTGCTTCTTCCTGTCCAAGCATGCCATATAGTACCACACTGTCCTGTCTTGGCACAAGTCATCCCTCCTTCTTGCCTTCTTGAAGGTCTTCCTGTCTCTGCCTTCTTATTTTCATTTCAGAAGTCCCACATGGATTTCTGGCCCCAAAGAAATTAGCTGGAGTTAGCACACAAAAGAAAAGTGATTGGTCCTCAATGTTCTAGACTGGCATCTACTTGCAGGAAGGCACCGTGTCCTTTCCATGGTTGGAACCACAATATTTCACTCTGTGTTTGATACATGGAGTAATGTAAGGTGCCTCTCAAAGGTCTCTTCCCTTAAACCCTTTCCCAGCCCCAAGACTAAGCAATCATTCCCTACCTATAAGCACACTTCTTGTAATAGACTTCAGGGTGAGAGGACCCAAATAAAAAACCATCTTCTTTCAGAACTGCCCCCATTGGTGGCAGCTGAGCAGCCAGGTTAGGACAATGTGACCATGTGCCGTGGGTATTGCTCACCGAGTCAGGAGAGGACATGAGGCTCAGATCTTGCCTCTCTCACTTGGAAACCAGGGCTGAGACCTGCTAGTAGGTCCCTGCTAAGTGCTTTAGTTGGAAGGACATTTTACACTTGGAATCTGTGGGCTAGGCAACTTCTCCATTGTACGCAGAAGCAGAAAGAATCATAAAAGTAAACCATGGCCACGGTTTGGCAACTTTCCAGTGTCTTGTTCTAGTAGTTCTAGTCTACTTGCAGGAAAGTACCATGTCCTTTCCATGGTTGGAATCACAGTATTTGCTCTGTGTTTGACACAAGGTCAGTGTGAAATAATGCTTGCTTAGAGGCTACGTTGTGACTACTGTTTTAACCTGATTGCTTATTCTTGCCTCTACCTTCACCCATTTTAGCTCAATGGAAGTCTAGAAAGGAATCCTTCTTTCCCACTCTAAGAAACAAGGTAATTGAATAGGTAAAGCGCTGAAATACAGTAGTGCACCTCACCCTCAGGCACACACTTACAAACCCATCTCTGCCCTTCTGTAAGTCTGTAACTCATTCTTCCTTTTTATCCCTGGGGATAGGGTCACATGTTAAAATTACATTAATTTAGGGCAGTGGTTGCCAACCATGGTCCATGGGCCACTGGTGATCCGTGAGGTGAAAGGTTAGCAGCCTCTGCTCTAGGGCATGGCTACTCAAACCCTCACAGAATCAGGGCAGCTATTATTTGTCTTGTGACTTATCTATATACATTCAGAAAGTGGGACCTACTAACCTATTTGTAGATTATTTTTTGTTTACCCATAATTTATCACAAACTTATTTTCATTGTGAAAAAAATGATCTACTATTAACTATCACATGATAACCTATAAACTTCAGGAGCTGTAAGTCATGTATCTTAAGAAAATGTGAACTACAGAAAATCTGTAACTTTCAGGAACTATGTCTGTTACAACAAAGCCAAGGTTACTCCTCTCCCTCCTTAAAGTCTTTATCAGTAACACTAGAGACACGGGTGTGGTCCCTAGATCTGGCCAGTGATCCCAGCGCGAGCCTCTGGCGTGGAAGGGCAGGTCCCAGCTGACCTCTGGGCCTTGAGGAGCACCTGGACCCCTGCCTCCCCCCACCTCCCATGTGCCCACCTTCGCCTGAGTCCTTGGGGCCCTGAGTCCCCACTAGGAGATACGATAAGCGTGGCCGGACTCCACGAGCCAGGGTGCAGCGTGGGCCTCTGGGCCACCCAGCAGTGCAGCACAGAAGCAGGGCAGGTAGATGCCCTGACCAGCCTACCCGCGGCGGCTATGGCCCTGCTCACCTGGAAGATGCGACGTGGGTGCGGGCAGGCTCCTTCCTTGGCAAGTGAGCCCTGGCATCCCAGAGAAGGGTAGAGGGGGCGTGAGAAAGAGAGCTCGAGGGACACCCCGCATTATCCCCGCACCTCCGGCCGGTCATCCCCAGCCCCAGGTAGCTAACAAGAGGTTGTAGCACATTATAGACCCCTGCCATGTTCTGTGCAACCCCCTATCCCCCTAGTAATCAGTGCACATCATAGTGAGAGATTGAACTCCTGGTCAAACGACTATCCAAGGGTACAATTAGCATATTAGGTTTTTATTATATAGGATTAGAGGTCCAGTGCACAAAATTCATGCATAGAAGAAGGAGGGTTGTCCCTCAGCCCAGCCTGTACCCTCTCCAATCTGGGACCCCTTGAGAGATGTCTGACCACTCGGGCAGTCGGACATTCCTCTAACAATCCAGGACTGCTGGCTCCCAACAGTTCACCTGCCTCTACCTGACTGCCACTAACCACTTCTGCCTGCCAGCCTGATCACCCCTTACCACTCCCCTACCAGCCTGACCAATGCCTAACTGCTCCCCTGCCTGCCCAATCGCCCCTAACTGCCCTCCCATGCAGGCTTGGTCCCCTCCCAACTGCCCTCCCTTACAAGCCTGATCTCTCCCAACTGCCCTCTTCTGCTGGACCGGTCATCCTTAACTGCCGTCCCTTCTGGCCTGATCGCCCACAACTTCTCTCCCCTGCAGGCCTTGTCCCCCCAAACTGCCCTCCCCTGCTGGCCTGGTCCCCCTCCCCAACTATTCTGTCCTACAGGCCTAGTCTCCCCAACTGCTCTCTCCTACAGGCCTGCTTCCCACCCCCCAACTGCCCTTCCCCGCTGGCCTGGTCTCCCCCAGCTGCCCTCCCCTGCTGGCCTGGTCACCCCTAACTGCCTTCCCCTACAGGCCTGGGTCATCCCCTTCACTCCCCCAACTACCCTCTCTTGCTGGCCTGGTCTCCCCCAACTATCCTCCTCTGCCAGCTCAGTCACCCCTAACTGCCCACAACTGCCCTCCCCTGCAGGCCATCTTGTGGCGGCCATATTGTGTCCACATGGGGGCGGCCATTTTTTCCACATGGGGGCAGCCATCTTGTGTCTTGGAGTGACAGTCAATTTGCATATTACTCTTTTATTAGATAGGATAGGCTCAGTTTCTCTCTGTCCAACCATAGCAAAAAGTTTTTCTGACAATTTTAACAGACCATGATTAGTAAGCAAGCACCTTAAAAACAATACATACCAACTCCATTAACTGTTTGAGCTGACCAATCTCTTCTGGCAGCGATCCGAGTTTGTTGTTACTTGCAATTAACACTTTGAGAGGCAGACCACACAGGCAAGCAGGCAGGGTGGACAGCTGATTTCGACTGCAAAGACAATACAAGGGCACATGTGAACATACAGGCCACTTCATACCATTTGTGAACCTTTTGCACAAGCAAGGAGAAAAAGAGTGAGCTGAAAAGACACCTAACTAATAAAGAAAAGCCAATAAAGTTCCTGTGTATGTAATAACTCAAATCTCATATGTATAAGATAAGAAAATATATATTTTACAAAAAGAGAGGCATAGGCTGGTCTGAGGGATGCACAAGGAACCCTGAAGAAGCTGAGCCCATGGCCAGCCAGGGCACAGGTGGGCAACATGTCCTGTATCACCAATAGCAACAGGAAGCTGGTGCCAACTGTCATCTTCCTGACAATGTGAACAGGAAATCCTGAGAGGATCTAAGGTATTTTACTACTAAAATAGATAGTAATGGAGAGATCATTTTCCTGTAACTCTCAACACTACCACCCAATTTCCAGTGTTTTGACTCACTGTGATTGTTTGCTTAGGTATGTGCAAGAAAGCTACTTAAAAAAAAACAAAAAACAAAACAAAAACAAAACAAAACAAAAAAAAAAACTTTATTGCTGAGTTTTCTGTGAGGTGGGAAAATATTGAAGAAATGAAATCTAAGAATCAGCCACAAGTATAAGGCAGTGACTTATTTTATCTCCTCCCTCACAAGCAGCCCTTTTCCTGGTATCAAGTAAGGAGACAGATGGTTTTCAGCTTCCCTTTATTTTTCTGGCCATTCTGTTATTGAAATCAACAACCAGACAATAAACATAAAACTCTGTTGTATTGCCGAAGCCGGTTTGGCTCAGTGGTAGAGCATTGGTCTGCAGACTGAAAGGTCCCGGTTTCGATTCCGGTCAGGGGCATGTATATTGGTTGCGGGCATCCCCGGTAGGGGGTGTGCAAGAGGCAGCTGGTCGATGTTTCTCTCTCATCGACATTTCTAGCTCTCTCTCTACCTTCCTCTCTGTAAAAAATCAATAAAATATATTTTTTTAAAAACAAAATTCTGTTGTATGTCATAGTATTGTACCTACTTAGAACTTCTGTGTGTAAAGCTTCAGAGGCTATGGTACTGTATGCATATATTTAAAGGTGCACATAACATGTGTGTGTGCAAGGGCATGAGACAGACAGATGGACTGCAAACACACAGACTGTTACCAGTGGTCATTTTGGGAGGAGTAGGTACAATGAGTGGATTTTATTTTTTTTACTACATTTTGCTAAATTTTCCAAAATGACTACAAAGTGCTTTTATAATTAGGAAATAAATCCTATATAATAAAAGCTTAATGTGCAAATCAACCGAATGCCAGAACGACTGGTTGCTATGACATGCACTGACCACCAGGGGGAATATTCTCAAAGCAGGAACTGCCCCCAGCCCACAGGCCCCAGACCAGCCAAGGTGGGTGCAATCGCCCCACAGAGGGAGGTGAATGGCAGTGGTAGCACAGGGTGAGGGTTGGAGAGGGGGAACAGGGCCAGTGGGCAGGCAGTGCCAGTCCAACCAAGATGGGTGCCAGCAGGGGTCCCCCTGATTGCCTCGCCAGTTGCCCCACAGATTGGCCCTGATCACCAGCCAGGCTGAGGGGCCCTGCTCCTGCGCAAATTTCGTGCACAGGGCCTCTAGTATCATTATAAAAAGATAAACTTCATCTGGATACTGGTTATATGGATGCTTCTTTTGTGGAAATTCATTTAGATGCACATTTATGATCTGGGCACTTTTCTGTATATGTAAAGGTTTTATTCTCTCATTCCCCCATACCATATGAGAGCACAGGGATCTGGTTAGCCAAAGGGTGTCTCTAGCTACTGGGCTCATAACAAAACAGGTGCTGTTCTCTTGAAAGAACCTTCCTAATATGGGTACTCTGTTGTAACACCCTGACATCTCTCCTGCTCCTGGTCCCCAATGCCCAGGTAATGAGGTTTTAGCAAGAAAAGATATGGCCACATCTTCTCTCTACTGCTCATACCCCCAAAAAAAGTTATTTCCAGAAAGGAACCTAAGAAGGAGAGAACTTTCTGTATGAAAGTTCTCTATGAAGGTCCAGCAGAGGAGAGGAGCTTGAGGGCCCTTTGGGGTTGGGGGCGGGTGTTCCTGGCACTAGAAGGACCAGCTGACTCTTTGCTCCCTCCTGGTTAGGGTGACAGGCGAGAATGAGGGTGACGGGCTCACCCTGGCCCTTCCTCCTGATCTTCGGGTGTAGTGACAGGAGAATCTAGGACTGCTAGCCTATTGTCTGTCCTCTCAAACCCCTCCTGCACCCTGTCTCACCCACAGGAGCCAAAGGAGCTCTTCTGGATGGAGGAGGAGAGGCCCTGCTTCCCGGCTCCTGCTGGGAGAACTTTCTTCAAAGACGCTACCTCCTGAAAAGAGACCTCAATTTATCAAAAGGTGGCAAGTAAGTAATTTGGGATGTAATTTGTGGTTATAAAATACTCAATAATATGTAATTTCATAAAATGAGGATTGGTAAATTAAAATGTTAAGATAATTTTATTATTTGAGCTATACTAAGCTTCCTTTTCAAGAGACAATATTGGGAACAAAGACAAGTATGCTCAAAAATTTCTACATTCCTATTTTCCACAGAATCAATGATTACAGTTGAGATCTTATCTTTGTTTCTTATCTTAGAAACTCAGATTTAAACTATTCCCAATCTCACTACCTTAATGCAGGCATCTAATCAGATTAACAGATTTTGAATTGGAGAGGCATTTATCTTACTATTTAAGTAATTCAATGAAGGCTCTGTTTATTCAGAAGCATGAGTATTTGAAATACTTGGAATTCTTCCAGGGTCAGTACTAATTGAAAATAAAGTAAAATTTAAGCTTGTGAAAGCAGTTAGTTTATTTGATAGGAAAGAGTGCTATTTATGCTAAAAGCTGTTGAAGAGATAGGTATTTATTTATGCCCCACACACTCCTATATTTAATCACCAGTATACCAATAACATGCCAAGTCTTCGATCATAATACATGTCACAGACCTGGGGCACATTTCTTCTACTGCATCTATCTGTTCCCTCAGCCTCTACCTCCATATTTTATCACAGGATGTTCCAGTATTACTTTTAATTTCCCCAACAGAAAGAGGAAATACACATGCACACAAAATCCCATTAGCTCTCTAGCAGGTATTTATAAAGGAGAGGAGAAATTGCTCTCTTTAATCATCTGCCCACATCAGCGCCTGAGCTTTTTGAAACCACTCATCTGGCATTTTTCTCAAGCACATAAGTGCCTCAGGCTGAAATCCACTCTTCTCTCCTCCCACTGGTCTCCTGGGGGCCTGAACCCTATAAATAGCCCTTTGAGGAAAGAATTTTTAAAAATAAGGCCATTTAGTGTCTGATAAAGTAACATTTACCTTCAAATCTAGCCTGTGAGCCACATCTGAAAACAAAATAAAAAAATTAACAAGAATAAATCAGTGGGGGAAAAGGGCCACTCACTCAGTAGTAGAAATTATAGATCCAGTCATGGTGGCATGAAACTTCCTGCCATCAAAGAGCCAAGCTCGTCCAGCATGCCATCAGTCTCCCTGGCCATCTGCATGGAGGATGGCCAGGGAGCAATGAGGGGAGGAAGGGAGGCAGTGGGCTTTTCCCATGGTTACTGTTAATGCTTGTCTCCCCTCTTTCTCAGTTGAATGACTCTCCAACAGATTTGTCTATTTACTAATTATGAGATGGAATAAGGCAGCACATCTTAGTATGAACAATTTTGATAGCCTAAATTGGTTTCAAGTATCACTTAACCTAATTCTTAAATTAAGAAATTCACAAACCAAGTCATTTATTTATGGTTTTACTTTGGCAGAATCTTATTTTAGTGTATTTTGACTATAGCACTTATTAATATGGCACTTATTATTGTTTCAAACTTAGTATTTGACAATTTATTAGAAAATTATTTCCTTTAAAGTATGTAATGATGAAGGCATGCTATATTGTTACATGTGACTTTATTATCAGGGCATTATATGTATTTTTTATTCTACTGGACTATAGGAGTGAACAAAAGTAGGTTAATAATAATGATAAATACAATAACTAATTAATTATTATACAAAAATAAACTCGCAACTATAACCCTACTTTTGCCCATCCCTGGACATTCTTTTTAAAAATATTTTTATTGATTTTTTTGAGAGAGAATAAGAGAGAGGGAGAGAGAAACATCAATTGGTTGCCTCCTGCATGCACCCTAACAAGGGACTCAATCCGCAAGTTGGGCATGTGCCCTGACTGGGAATCAAACCACTGACACCTTGGTGCAAGGGACAATGACCAACCAACTGACCACACCAGACAGTGAACCTGTATATCTCTTTTTTGTATGTATGTGTATTCACTTAATAATGAAACATGGGCCAAAACTGGTATGGCTCAGTGGATAGAGTGTCAGCCTGTAGACTGAAAGGTCCCAAGTTCGATTCCGGTCAAGGGCATGTACTTTGGTTGTGGGCACATTCCCAGTAGGGGGCGTGCAGGAAGCAGCTGATCGATGTTTCTATCTCATGAATGTTTCTAGCTCTTTATCTCTCTCCCTTCTTGTTTGTAAAAAAATCAATAAAATATATATTTTTTAAAATAATGAAGCATGGAACTCACTCAACAGAAAATAATTTATAGGGTGATTTCTATAACAAATTCACTTTAATTCCCTTGGTAGAAAGGTCACCAACTGTGGAATTAAAAGACCTGGTTTCAAATCTCATCTTCGCCACAAGTCATCTGTATGACTAAGTTTAACCTCTCTGGCTTTGTCGTCCATAAACACAGGAATAATACCTTCCTAACGTGACACATGAGATTATGAATACAAAAGTATTTAGTCAATACTAAATCCATATATAAAGATTAAACCAAGCCCAACCATTCATTAATGTTGCCAACCAACTATTAGGTGGGTAACCAAAAAGAGCATATGTGTGCTTAGTTACATTTTAGTGGTTTTTATTTCCTAATTGTTGAAATTTCAGCCACTTTTAGAATATGA